CCAACGTGTGTTGAGTTGTTGTTGATTATTGGAGTGAATGTGTAATGTAAGAGGGCTAATGGAGGACTATCGAGTACCTCATCCACCCACAATTAATTATATAATAGGTATATAGGGTAATGGAGGGATATCTAGTACTCACTTGTTGAATGAATGGTTTTTAAATAGGAAAGAATGTTTTTAAGATTGAATGAGCGCGGGATGTGTTTGGATGTAAGAACTGGTTGCGTGGGTGCGGAAATGAATTAGCCGTTGACAGTACCACGATCCGAACCTCTGTGGATAGTCTTATAAAAACCGAGGTCTCGCAACACCGGGGTGAGCGATTCTCGAGGCCTGCGGGTGATTTATTTTAAATTACAAAGTTGGAGTACAAATATACGTACATACTTGGGCAGATATGAGCTTATATAAATCAATAAAAATATGATATGGAATTCGCTCCGATGTTCAATAAATATTTATTTTTATGGTAACCTTGACTATCAGTGAAATGTTCGTATATGGGTACGAAAGTTTACAACATGATGCACGAAAAAGACAATTGGATTTTATTATAAAGAAATTTGTAAGGCTATCGAATAACGTTTTATCTGCTTTTCTTTATTTGGGTATTGATCAAAACCCTTTGTCTTTATATACTTGTGTACGAGCAAAAGTCTGAAAAGGTAACTCGATCCATGCCCTCTTGAGTGGTCGTTAAAAAACCCTTTTCTTTAGAAATTTTACTGATATTTGTGCTTACTGTTGTAAACATAAGACGTATTTATTTATTTTATATGTGTTTAATTTACACAATTATGTTCCATGTCTGTTTGCATTCCAAAAAAACATATTTGTTTTTGCACAACGATCCTTCAGTTCGAACAGAAACTAATACTGTACCTTTCAATTAATTAAGGTTTTTAGTTGAGATAAAAAGTCAGTGTCCCGAGCGGGATTCGAACTTCGATCCACTCGGACACTAAGGTCCTACTTCAACCTCACTTTTTGAATTTTCCCTCCTTTTTGCCATTTTTCAAATGTCGTGTTATCTATCTATTCTCGCGCGACAAATGAAATGGCCACGGAGAGCTTTAGTGAACAATACTTCATTTGTAACATATTAAAATCACTAGTTTTCGTGGTCTGCTTGACCAATTAATATCTTTCAGTTAAACTTTTTAGTTGAAATAAAAGTCAGTGTCACGAGCGGGATTCGAACCCCGTGGATCGATGGCTGATAGTTCAAGTGGTAGAGTAGCGGCGTATCGAGCCGAAGGTCGTGGGTTCGAATCCCGCTCGTGACACGGACTTTTTATCTCAACTAAAAACCTTAATCAATTAAAATATATTAATTGTTCCAGCGGAACACGAAAACTAGTGAGTCTAGATAATTATTCCCGAACATAGCAAACTCTAGTACAAAACAAATGCTGCATTATTTCTGAAATTTTCTATGAAAAATTTTTGTTAACTAGTGACTGTAATCCTGTACATTTATATTTATACAAACATTTGTAGTTGGTTGTATACGTAGGGTAAGTGACTTATTTTCTCTCATTCCTAAAATAAATTAAATACACGACAAATTTTATATTTATTTGTAATTAGTTATTTGTAATTTATAACTGTTTTTGAACATTACTCTAGAAATAGTAGTGGCAAAAAGGGCCAAAATCACTCTTTAAGGAAACATCAAGAGACCCTTCAAAGTTAGTAGTATTAGTTAGTTTCCTTTATCCCTCCAAATCCCCAGCTTCTATGCTGAGGAATAAGAAATATGTTGAAATAGATCCATAGATAGAAATAGATTTTCTTTTTTTGCATAAGGAGTCTGGTATGGATACCCCCGTTACGAGGGGGATGGAGGAGGGCAAAAAAGATCATGTGGTATTTTACAGCTACGCTACATCAATTTTGTTTTATGTAGTTTATTGTCTAAGTTTAATAAGACAACACGAAATCTTAAAACCAAAAGAGAAACATTCCAATATTCATTTTTTCCGAGTACAATATACATGCTCGATTTTTAGCTCTTTACTTAAAAATAAATACTAGTTATTATAATGGTTTAAGCTTCTCTATTATTTAGGCAAAGAAAACTGCCCAAACCTAGTGGACAATCTGAGTATAAAAAGAAATTACAGAGGTATAAAGAAATATATATTTAAACAACAATTAACTCAAGAAATCAAATTAAAGATGACTTTTAACAAAGACAGCAAAGGGAAAACATTTAAAGCACGGACAAGAAAAATTATTTAAGATAAAACGTCAGAAATAACAAACAAGAATTTTGATATGAAAAAACCTAGATAAGAATGTGTGTGTCTTACATTAAAATGAGGTACATAATCCAAATTAAAGGTACTTAAGTTGAATAGGCTCCTTTATGGCTGATCTAAGTTTCTTGTGTATTTGTTTAAAAGAAAGAATATTTGGCGTTTCTTATATATTTAAATTAAACGTGCCGTTGTGTGTGAACTTCTAAATAAAGAAATAATGCTTTTTACGCTTTTCATACACCACTCCGCTTTAGGAGGCCACTTTGGTCGTCGTATACCGTCGCACCGGGCCAGCTAAACTTTGATAAAGATAAACAGGTGTATTTTTACTTACTTCAGATGCTACCCTGGCATAGCTTGAGGATTTTAAGGGTTATTTTAATTTTATGAATGGTTCTGAAACATAAATGGACTATCCCATGGGAAATAATGCTTACACAAAGGACAAGAAAATTGCTCTTTTCCTTATAAATAAGCAAGCAGATTGCCTTCTGATTATTTGAACATACTTTAGTTAACTGCTTGTATATTAATCCGGTGCTTATTACTAGAAAGATTCTTCGTAACTCTTGTTCACTCGGCGTGTGGCTTGACGGGTGACCTCGAGCTAATTGGAGCAATATCGAGGCTTTACGATCCCAAGGCGTGAGGTATGACAAACTTCTGACCAAGTTGGCCAAGCCACACGCCATTGAAACAAGGATTTAAAGACTTGAGCGTTGGCATATGTTCATATTTGGCATTATGCAATAATTTTATCACTGGCATGTAGCATATGAAGACAATAAAAATAAATTGTATAACCAATCACTGAAAAGTTTTCCAAATGTTGGATTACAAGCTTTTTTACAATTAGAACATTTTGTAAAAAATCTTTATGTCATGTATTGGTCGTGATAAAAAAAGTCAGTGTCACGAGCAGGATTCGAACCCACGACCATCGGCTAAATGCGCCGCTGCTCTACCACTTGAGCTATAGTAACTTCGATCCACTCGGACACTAACTTCCTACCTCAACCCCACCTTTTGAATTTTCCCTCCTTTTCGCCATTTTTCAAATGTCGTGTTATCTGTTTGATTCTCGGCGACAAATGAAATGACACGGAGAGCTTTAGTGAAGTATACTTCATTTTTAACTTATTAAATTCACTAGTTTTCGTGGTCTGCTTGACCAATTAATATCTTTCAATTAATTAAAGTTTTTAGTTGAGATAAAAAAGTCAGTGTCACAAGCGAGATTCTAACCCGTGGATGCTTTACCACTTGAGTTGTGACTTGGATCCACATGGACACCATTTCCCATCTCAACCCATCTTTAGAATTTTCCCTCCTTTTTGCCATTTTTCAAATGTCGTGCAATCTCTTCGACTCTCGGCGACAAAGGAAATGGCCACGGAGTGTTTTAGTGAAGAAATACTTCATTTTACTTATTAAATTCATTTGAGTTCGTGGTACGATTGACCAACTAAATTATTTTCAATTTCTGGTGTGATGTAGGTTTCAGAAAAACATTTTCTTTATAGTGCAAACGTTTCGATCTTTATTGAGAACATCTTCAGGGCTGAAAATTTTGTTTTCTGACTATGAACCGACACGCAAGAATGGCACAATTACGCAGAAAACAAACACTTTGAGCCCTGAAGATGATCTCAATAAATATCGAAATGTTGCACGGTAAAGAAAATGTTTTTCTGAAACCTACATCACACCAGATCGCATGTCACGATTTCCGAATAATCATAGACTAACAGTCAGTAATCACCACACGTTTATGAAGTTTGAGATAAAAAAGTCAGTGTCACGAGCGTGATTCGAACCCACCACCTTCGGCTAAAAACTCTGCTGCTTTACCACTTGAGCTGTGACACGGACTTTTTTTATTTCAACCAATACCTTACATAAAAATTAATTAATTGAAAGAAGTTATTTGGTAAATCGGACCACGGCCACTAATGGATTTTGTAAAAATATCAAAAATCGGTTTGTGCTGCGTCTGCTTTGAGCCCGATTTTGCCGGTGAACCCATAAAAGAAAGCTCTTTTCCAATCATAACCCATGTCGACAAAGTGCGAGTTCAAATAAAGACCGCGACACGGTAACGAAAACTAGCACTGAATACACAAACGCAAAACCAGTCTTAAAGGATTATGAATGGATGATGATGAACGACATGAATAATTTGTAACAGAGCCGTCGCGAAGAGTCGGCTGAAAATCATAAGGAAAAACGAAAAAGAATATCCACGGTTGTAAAACCAGCTCGCACATCCTATTGAGGAAAGAATAACAATTATTTTTTGCAACCATATGCCCAGGGGGTAAATTAGATAACTGAGATATTGGCTCAACTCTTCTTCTGGCCTTTTGCTCGCGAAATGCAAATCAGATTGAATTTATGCTCTCAAATTAATATTCTATTTGCAATAACCATTATAATGATTCGATAAAAACATCTTTAAATTTAGATGTGCAAGTAAAAGCTAAATCACAAGATTGTAAGTAAAACAACAACTAATTATTTTGTAAGCAATACCATTCTAATGTTATCTATATTTCGTTTACCAACGTAATAATTGAAATTTAGAGATAATTCAATAGTTTACTTGAGGCTAAATTGCTTATTTAGTGCCTTATCAGATAATTAATAGCTGTTTGAGCCTGAGTCGGACAATGTCATCTATAATTGAATTTGCAGCTGTAAAGGGGATTCATTACCGTCTTTAATCTTTTGCAGATTCCTCACCTGGATGTCACGTCCCAACTAACGGCTGTATAATTACCGTTTTCATCTGAGAACGGTGCTCCGAATTAAAGAGGTATGTAGATACGACGAGTGAGTATGGCGATGTTCTAAACGAATCAGATAGTTCGTTGAACAAACGGCACACAACTCATTAAGGAATTTCTCAAACAATTCTTGACATTGTCTTTTATAGGAAAGATTGTAAGAAGAGATAGTTCAGCTAATATTATTTGAACTTTAAGTCTTCAAACGTTCATTTACCTTCCTCTGCTAAAATCTAACATAACATATAATCTAACATACTTTATGACTTGTTAACTAAAAACTATAAATGATATTAACGTATCAATTTGATCAATTGTTTTAAATTGTTTAATTGATAACAATAAATTAATTATTAATTAGTAAATAAATTAATAATAATAAAAATACACTTTTTTTAACATACAGAATAAATTCACTAATTTCGTTGTCCGCTTGACCAATTAATATATTACAATTAATTAAGGTTTTTAGTTGAGATAAAAAAGTCAATGGCACGAGCGGGATTCGAACCCACAATCTTCGGCTAGATTCGCCGCTGCTTTACTACTTGAGCTATCGTGACCTCGATCCACTCGGACACTAACTTTCCATCTCAACTCCACCTTTGGAATTTTCCCTGCTTTTTGCCATTTTTCAAATGGATCGAGGTCACGATAGCTCAAGTGGTAGAGCAGTAGCGTATCTAGCCGAAGATCGTGGGTTCGAATCCCGCTCGTGCCATTGACTTTTTTTATCTCAACTAAAAACCTAAAATAATTGTAATACAGAATAAAGGTTATTTTCTGCAATTTAGTGAACTAATCCACAAAGTTTTCTTCTAACTAGAAATAAATTTAATTCATGAAAGGTTTTATTTTCATGTATTAATAACTAATCAAAATTTGGCCCTATTATTTCGTTGGGCTAAAATTCATAGTGAAGAGTCCCAGTCGATCCGAAACACACTTTTGCCCCAATTCTTATCCATTTATCGACGAAATTCAATAAAACTTGGTACAATGAGTGAAAAGTTCTCCTGACGCACTTTCACACTTTTGTCAAAACCTGTCGAGAACCCCCATCTCAAATGTGAAAAACTTTGTAATTGTACAGATATAAACTGCTCAAAAATAAATAGGAATATTCGTAATTTATTGTAATTTTATTAATTTTAATTAAATTAACCGATATATTCTTGTTAGTTGGATGAACAAATAGAAAATACAAACCAAAAACAAACAAATGATAATCCTCATTTTTAATAACGGATTTACTTAAAAATAGTAAACATGAACATTACTCATTTTGTAAATAAACACCTTTTTTCGTCTTTTCTCCATTTTAATACAGTTATATTCTCTTTAACCAACATCTTCTTGAACTAGAAGTTTGCAATATTATTATGAGAATGAGACATCGAGGTTACCGGCAAGAGGATATCGCAAAGGTAGTTGGTGTTTCTCAGAGCGTCGTCTCCCAGGCATTAGCCCGATTCCGTGAGATTGGAAATGCCAATAGGTGGCCTGGTAGTGGATCTGAGCGCATTACGACGCAAAGTAAGGACGGAAATATTGTCATTGATGGAAGACAGAACCCTTTCCGTAGTGCACGTCAGATCCTAAATGAAGTACAAATTGTGTTGGCAAGGCTTTTACCACGATAACGAATCGTTTGTGGGACGTGTATGCCTTTTATGAGACGATCTGCAGCAACAGCACGCCACTAGCAACTCAGGAGAATATGGTGCAGCGAGCGCCTGGAAGAGAACTTAGAATGCTGTTAGTCGCGTTTCTGTCTGCATAGTAATAGCAGGCGCCGAAGAATATAGCGAGAGCAGAGGATGCGTACAATGCCCCGATTCCTGCTCCCTTCAGTGCAGTTTGGAGGAAGCGGTCTAATGGCCTGGGCTGGGATTTACACTGGATTTGATGCTAAGGGAGGACAGAAATATTATCATTGTTGGACTCACATGGTATACCCCTTCGAGATGGCCTGCAGCTCGTCACCATCAACTCAGGAGAATATGGTATGGTGTAGCGAGCGCCTAGAATAGCAAAGAATTGGAAAGCTGTATGTTTACTGATGAGACGCATTTTTGTCTGTGTAGTGATAGTAGGCTCCGAAGATTCGACAGAGAAGAGGGGTTGCGTACAATGTGCCAGTTCTTGCTTCCTTAGTGCAGTTAGAAAAAGGCGGTGTTATAGTCTGTGTAGAGATTTACACTGGAGGACAAACTGGACTCCATATTGTTGATGGCAACCGCACAGCAGTTCGTTATGTCCAAGAAATTATCGAGGAATACAATCCTCAAACCAGGGTCTCGTTTGCAGGGTTTTTCGATTTCTGGATTACAATGACAGAACTCATAGAGCCAGAGTTGTTCATGAATGTTTAGAAAACCTGGGAATTTCCCATCTGCCCCAACCCCATTGTGTCCAGCCTTTAATCCCAATGAGCACATTGGGATGCTTTTCGATCACCATCCGCAGTCAGTTGACCGTTGCAGCATTGCAACATCTCTGGAGTGAAATTCCTAATGAAATTAGATACAACCTTATTAACGGTACGCCTAACAGGTGCACAGAGGTTTAAGCTAACAGAGGACATTAAAGACGGTATTAATTGTTTCCAATAAACAAAATTAAGGAAAGAAAACTTTTATATTGTTATTTGTCAAAATCCCTTAATTAAATTTTCCTTCAGTAAAAAAATTAATTTCGCGCGATTATCTTATTTTCATTTTAGAAAATTTAAAATAACATGCCATTCCCAATAATCATAAAGAATGACATTACTTTCAATGTTTTCTTTGGTGATTGATCAGCCCTCTCAGTTTAAATTTTTTTTTCTGTCCAAAAGGTAGATTGGGGATGAGGCCAGGAAGACAGAAACAACATTTATTCTCTTGTCGAGCTTTCGGCATAATATATCCCCTTCATCAGGACTCTGTATTAACAAATTAACATAAGAAAATTTTCAAATATACAATTTTTAAAATTTTCCTTAATTACTAACTCGAAAAAAATCGTTATACTATATGAACAGGTACATGTGTGGATAACGATAGGCGGTAGAACCCACCTTCGATGAACGAAGGTAATAAATATTCCTAAACGCGACAGTATTGCCAACTGGCTCAATATTCAATCTATAAAAAATTCCCTAACATTTTGGTATCAACTATCACAAGTTATACAATCAAAAGAAAACCATAAATTAATTTGAAACAATCCTAAAATAAATTAATTATCACATATAAACATTCAGGTACATATTATACTATTAAAGGTATTGGTTAAGGATAGAACTATAAATTACACATAAGTTTGATATATCTGTTCTAAGGTTATTCGAATTACCATCTTTATGATCTCTTTAATCAATCTTCTACCTAAAAATTTTTCTTTATCCATAACAGAAACATTGTTAAAATCACGTGTGGTTATATTTTTGACTGTGTTGGGAAAGCGCAGTCCCTTGCTTTTTTATATCTCTAACATCGTAGGCGTGTTGTCTACATCTATTTTTCAATAATTGTTTAGTTTGACCATAATACACAGCACTACATTCGTTACAACACAATTTATACACAACATTGCTACACAGTTGTGTTGGCACTTTTGATTTCAATTTTGAAAAAATTATTTTTCCCAAATTGTTCTTATATTTTAAGGCTATCACAGTCGGTATATCACAGTTTGCAGTTCTATTTCTGACCATGGCAGAGAGTTTGTTAGTAATGCCCTTCACATATGTAACACTCTCTATAATTTAACAGTATTGTTAAGAGGTACTACAATTTCATTACTTTCATTCTTATATATTAAAATTCTATCATTAATTTATTTATTTACAAGAGAGATAGGATATTGATTTTTAACTAAAATATCTTTAACTAATGCTTTACATTCATAGTGGAAATGAGGGGAGCTAAGTTTAAAAATTCTATCTGTTAGGTTTTATATCACATTTATTTTCAATTTAATAGAGTGGAGGGAGTTATAATTTAGGATCCTGTCTGATGATGATGGTTTTTTTATACCATTTTGTTAGTATAGTGTTATTATCCCTGAGTAACAAAACTTCAAGGTATGGTAATTTTCCATCACATTCCGTTTCACACGTGAAGTCCAAATTTGGATCGTAAGCATTAAACTCATGTTCAATCTACCTTTTGGAAAGAAAAAACTATACTTTCAATATACTTTCAATGTTGTTTGTTTGTTATTTTAAAACTGTTCTTTTAATCATACGAACTTTATTTTTTAATTTTTTTTAATGTTTTCACGCTTTATATTTTGTATTACACATTTTACTAAAAATAAGTATATACCTTCTCAAAAGTAAAGACCTATTTGTGTACATATTTTGGCTTTTAGTGCATAAACAACCACTCTCTAATAGTTAGAATATTGAATTTTGATGATTAATGACCAGACCGCATCTCACGATTTCTGAATAATTATTGAATTTTGATTTAAAAAAAAAAATGGACATTTTATATTTTTCAAATGTAAATAATACTCAACATAATAGCCTTTAAATTTGGAAATATGATCTTGGTATAATCGTGTAAATCTAAATAATATGCCTATCGTATACTTAATACATATCGTATATGTCTAGTAATATCGTTTTTAGCCATGAATTAATTTACATTTGCATGATCATTTATCATACATAATAGTAGTCAGTTATAGCTTTATTCTATCTAGTTCTGTTATCTTTCTAATCATTTAATAACGAGTTTATTTTATCTGATTTTAGTTAAACGGATTTATATTTCATAAAGTGAATAATGACTTCTTCGCATCTTGTTCATGTATCGAATTAATTAGCATTTTACATCTACTTGCTTGAATTGTCTAATCTGCATTTTATACCAAAATCATTTATTTAATTACGTTGTTTGAGTGAATTTATATTTTATTTGCTACAAGGGCCTACATTTTTTGTTTTTTTGTGGAATGGACGGACGAAGAACATCGATTTCAACGAAACCTTTTTTGTCGTTCTAGTTCAAGCAATATTATTTTGAACTAGACTTAG